TCCCTGGAGAAGAGCTATGAGCTGCCTGATGGCCAGGTGATCACTATCGGGAATGAAAGGTTCCGGTGCCCAGAGGCCATCTTACAGCCCTCCTTCCTGGGGATGGAGTCCTGTGGCATTCACGAGACCACTTTCAACTCCATCATGAAGTGTGATGTTGATATCCGAAAGGACCTCTATGCTAACACAGTGCTGTCTGGGGGAAGCACCATGTATCCTGGCATCGCTGACCGAATGCAGAAGGAGATCACAGCCCTGGCACCCAGCACGATGAAAATCAAGATCATTGCCCCACCGGAGCGTAAATATTCTGTCTGGATTGGTGGCTCCATCCTGGCTTCTCTCTCCACCTTTCAGCAGATGTGGATCAGCAAGCAGGAATATGATGAGTCTGGCCCATCCATTGTCCATCGTAAATGCTTCTAAAGAGGGTCCCAGCAGGTGTGCTCAGCCTCTGCTGATGGGGTTACACACAGTATAATTGTCAGGGCAAATGTATTTACCAAATTGAGTAGTTACTTGTAAACTTTGCCCTTGAAAAGCTTTTCATGTTGGACCAATATTGTTTGATTTACTCATCTCCCCTTATGTTTATCTTGACTCCTCCTTTGATGTACTGTGTAGTAACTATACCCTGTGCATCATAAGCTCTGTTACAGGTTGCACGTGACCAAGGTTACAGTTAACTGTATTAGTCGAGAGAGAGAGAGCGCTACCTTTTAGGCTTTATTTTTCCTGGGGGTGTCTTGTGTCTTTTATTTCCCCCCCCCCCCCCCTTAGCTATAAATTCCCTGGGGCTGGAGACTAGACTAAGGGTGGTTGACTTTACAATGTAACTTTGATGTAATGGCATCTCAGAAGTAGATTTGTAACTAACCCTAAAGGTGATAATTGTATTGTCACTGACAGCTCCTTGTGTAAGACAAACTAATAAACTTCTGTGGCTTAAAATTTAAAATGTGTTGTACAATTACTTCAGGGTAACTAGATTGAGCAGCATGGAAAAGCTGATTATTCTTTCAAGTGTACTAATAGAAATGCCTGTTCCTTAGTAGTTTGCATAATTAAATTGCAAGGCTATACTGCAGCCTACCAGATTAATCTCGTCACCCCTAGCATGGTGATGAGTGCCCAGAAAATGCCATGGGGACTTCTAAAACCTGCCTAACATGTCTTGCTTCTATTTTGGTGTACAGAGATTAGCTTGGTGTTCACTAGGTAAGAAATTTTGACCTGCATTTACAGCGGGGTCATGAAGCGCCCTCTACTCTATTAGAAAAGCATGGTTACCTGTAGCTGTTGCTGGGTACCACTAACTTTGTTCAGCAAGGGGAAAATGGTGTGTAAAACATCTGTTAAAGATGGGCAAGAGAAATGGACCGGGGGGTGGGGAGGGATACACTGTATGATGTATGAAGGCCTGAATGTTAAGTGGATTTTCTGCTGTAGAAGAGGACAGAATTTCTGCCCCTGAGAATTGACTGGAGAAATAGTGGAAATTCACCTAATGTGTGAAGTTGGGGTGGGTTTTTAGGCTGCTTAAACTGCTCTTTTAATACTGTAAGAATTTTTTTTAGGTTTTTTTTTTTGGAAATTTACTTTTTGGCTTAAAGGTCCATCATCCTTCTGCTTCAGCTAAGATACAAGAACCCACAATAACATCCACTCAGGTATCCAACATGTCCTGCCTGGTTGACAGGACATATCATTCCTGATGTTTAAAAATATCTTCTGGACTGCCTTTGGACCATGAGTACTCAACGCATAGGCTCAACACTAGTAAAAACTGTCATACACGTCTAAGATCAGTCAGACCAAACCAAACACTATAACTATCTTAAACAGAACTGTCCTGTCCTGCCTTCAGTACTGTCTCCAAAAGAATAAACACACTCCACCCTAGTCTTGTAGGAGGAACAGTTTTTTGTATTCAGCTGGACAGCCTTTTTGCAGAAGTGGCCCTTAATTCAGATTTTTGGCAGGCTTCTGTTTCAGTTCACTTTGAAAACACAAGTGTGAAGCTAAACTGTCTTCAGGATGAACTCAAGATGAAGTGGTGGTATCCTCTTAAAGAGGATACCTTCTTGATCTGGTCCTAATGGTTGGTGGTAAAACTTACCTACCTCTCTTCCTTTCCAAACAAAATCACTCCAAAGGGTAAAACTACCAGGTGTTATGATCTCATAAAATAGTCATTTTATATGCTGTTGTATATCCTTGATTTTTGCTTTTTCTGTATGTGCCCTGGTTTGAATCACATTCCTTGAGGCTGCCAGCAGCTATTTACCTTATCCACATATTTCATTGCCTACATGCATTCCCATCCAGAATGTCTAGCTAGCATAAGCAAAGGCCAAGTAGCCTGGGAAGAGAGTCACACACAGTATTGAACACCTGAGAGTGCTGGACTGGTGGTTCCTGGTTTATCAAACTTTAGTATAAAGTCCAAGATGTACAATACTTAGAAATATTTTTATGTCCCTATCACTTTCAGATACCACTATGGCAAAGTTACTTTGCGGCAACAATGGGCTTGCCTGTGATCTAGGGCAGATTATATATTTACCCACCATTGTGGTGTACAGTATAAAAGACATGGGTGAGTATTGTGCTGATCTCTATCCAGCCAAAATCCAGGTTGCAGCCCATGTACCCTGTGCACACAGCTGGTATCCTGTATAATGAGGAACCCTGGGGGTTTATGACAAAAGAGGTTAGAAATAATATGAACTGAGAAGTGTGGGGCTTTGACATTGAGTGTGCAGGACAATGGTGCCCAGCTCCTACACAGGCAATAAAGGCACAAAATATAGGAGGTGCAGGCTGTGAGGCAACACTGTTAATGCTATCTGAATTCACAGACATCTGGCAGTGTGCCTACTTTCTCTCACCTGTCCTTACTCCCATAGCTACTGCCATGGTGTGGCTTGTGCACCTGTTACTTCCCCTCCTAATATGACTAGCCCCATACCTCCCTCCTGATTCCCCATAACCTGGTCTTTAGCCAGTCCTGCCCCACTGCCAAACTCCTGCTCCACCCTAACATGCCTTGCATTCTGCTACCAGGTGTGAGGACTGCAGCCTCTCTAGTTTTTTCTATTCTCATGAAAGAGGAAATACTTCTTTCAGTCTCTCAAGGTGAACAGCTCTCTTTTTTGGGGGGGAGGAGAGGAGGGGTTTGCTCCTTTTGCTGATGGATTCTACTCTGTTCCCAAGTGTAGCACAGGAATAGTTTCTAGGCACTTGCTATGGGGAGAACACTCTTAAATGCCATATACTTGACAGGCAACCAAGAGGTTGCTTACAATTGTTCCAAGAAAATGATTGGGAGCATTAAACTATAAATCAAGTGGTGAGGTGGGGACTTGGAACCTGAGCCTGATGCAGTCCATGCGTGTTTCTCTATTGACTACAGCAGGCTTTGGATCAGGCCCTGAATGCAGCATCTTCTGAGGAATTACAGAGACTTGCTTTGCTGCAGGTTTATAAAAGATGGTAGCCAGTAAGTCATCTTCCTACCCTTCTGCTAATAAAATGTTCAAATGGAGACCGCATGAGGCCAACTTGCTTGCCAAGCTGTACAAAGTCATAGCTTACCTGCCAACCCAGGCCCTGATCCCAGAATTGAATCCACTAGCTTGGAGTCTTGCACCCTACATCCATGAGTCAAGGGGCCTTTGTGGGGGTGTTTTGGGATCCCTTGCAGGATCAGGTCCAAATGTCAGACTACAAACACAAGAGCTTGCGGTGCTGCAGTCCAGAAGGATACCTTTAGGAACCATCCATACAGTCGCTTCGGGAGCTTGATCAGCCTTGAAGCATAGAAGGGCCCACGCTGTGTTTCAACCATCTTTTCAAATCATGTTGCCATCTAAGGAAGGTGGGTTAATCTCACCTACATTATAAGATTGAACCATGTTTTACCTCTGGTGGCTGATGGCCATGTGGTAACTAAGCCCCCAAGGAGGTGAGAATCATAGTATAGATAAGCCCTTATTAACACTGCATAAGGCATAAATCTGCCCCTAGCCTCCCATCACTAGTGGGAAACCAGGGATCTGGCTACAGTGTGAAACTGACCATGTTAATAACATCCCTTGGGCCAGCTGGCAGCAAAGACCCAGGTCCACAAAGGTATTTA